TAACCCTTTCCAGCTTGTGAATATCCTTATATGCTGCCCGGGGGTTTGAGTTTGGTGGTATGTTGTTGTTGTGAAAAGTAGATTAATATAGATATATCCCCATCCCTGTTTGTTTATCTCTAGCATGACTGATATTCTCCGAGTAGCCACCTAGACTGTGGCTCATTCCTATTACAACTTAACAGCCTACCGGCTCTAACCCACATATTGGTCTTAGTTCTCACCCCCTGGTCTACCACGATGGCACCTACAACGCCCAATGCAGCGCAGTACTCATACAGATTCTGAACCTCTATTCACTTCCTCCACGGCTTATTATCTTGGCCGTACATGGCCGCAAAACCAGCTACCAACATGATCCTATGCTGAAAATGGTCGCTCAGCCTGTTATTTTCTTCCGCTAAATTAACTGCACTTACCCGTCCGCGCAGAATCTGGTCTTAGCCCTGGATATGTGCTCAGCTCGTTACTGGTTCCCAATCACTTCTACGCAAAGCACTTGCTTTGTAGGCACTGACGTTCATTCCATAGCTACCCGTATCCACGGCGCAGCTTAATACTGGACCTCCGTCACTTAATTCACTAGTGCTAATAACAACCCGCAAGCACTTTAGAATTAATAACCACGCGCTATACAGCACGATAGCACTAACCAGCCGTAAGCGGCCACCAAACCCACCTAGAATCTCTATGTCTTTTGGTCCTTTATTCACACGTATACCAAGCGTATATAACATACAACGACAAAACTATATTATGCATAGCGTATCAAGCCAGATTTTCGTTTCAGTTTATTCGCTTCCTCGTATGCATTTTTAATGCCTTTCTCCTTGGATTGCTTTTACCCGTTGCGGCACTTTCAAGTTATCCACAGATACTTCCACTGGACTGGAGCAATGCTTCAAAGGGTGTATGGTTCATAATCAGCAATTTCGAATTAAACCTTCGCAAGGAACATCATAACTGAACAGGATTGAAACCCAACGCGGCCACAGGAGAAAAGACCATACGCTTGAATTTGGACGTTGGATAATAGCTGACTGCTAGTAAAGGCGCACGAGATTTGCTACGAGCCAGTACACTCAGAACAAATTCCATTAGCACATAAGGTGCGTATCAATGTTCCTACACTTGCATTAACTATCTGTTTCAACCCTGAAGCAACAGTGTGGAAAAGTGGTCATCACAACCTTATATAACTTAGTAGACTTTCCAATGTCAAAACTAAAATTAAGCACGTTTGCTAGCAGCATGATTTCGTGCTCAAATTTATCCTGACTCGTTGGCCTGTTTCGTTCAACACCGAGTATATAATATTTTATTGATTTAAAATTTATCCAAAGCAGAAAAATAACGATACTTTTGCATATTTTAGGTGCAGGCGAGTACATCCCTTAGCGTTTCCGGCATCGTTGGAGATAGACTTGTGAAGACAAAAGCTGCACATCTTATAGCATTTCTAAAACCACAGTTGCGCCAGCTATTATATGGCAGGCAATTGCATCAGCTGAGGCAATGGGTTGCTGAGCCACTGGCTTTCGTCTTCACCGCCTTGGGGCTGAATGCGACAGCCACATTTCCGAGCGATAAAACAGCTACCGGAGAGGTCAAAATCATTAGACAGGCCTTTGTAGGTACGCCGACCCTAAGCGTATAAACAGTTACTATTAAATCCACGTTCTGGGCGGGCCTAATCGCCGTATATTGCAGCATATCGTAAACAGGTTTTCTGTCTACTTAACCCCAAAGGTTCGTCCAGGGAATCAAACTACGTGCGATTAGTAGCGGCGGCCAGAAACCGTGGATTGCCAATGCCAGTAAATGTGCCATCAAATAGCAGGTGGCTGTCCATTTAGTCTAGTAGTTACAGCTAAATTAACCATGCTGTTAGACGCTGGAGACAGGATTAAAATTATATCGAATATCGGGATGGCCATATACACTTTCTGGCCTGGTTGGAGGCATCCGGTTTTAGATTTGCCTGTCACTGTGGCCAGTCACAAAACGCCTGTGCCTACGAAGGGCTCATAGGTGGCTTTCGCTGCAAAACCCATAGCTACAACAGCACACCATATCCAGCGTACATCCGAAGGAAATGTACAGGGTGGCATGTGGATGGAAGCTACGTTTCATCAGCTGAGCCGGCACACAATCCTTCGCAGACAAATACAAGCATTCTGTATGGGGGGTTCAATCGCACACAAAGCGTTCGCTGGACCGTAGTCCGCTCCACACTGAGTGCATGGAACAACTCTTCCAGCATATCACGGCCATAAGGATCGTGCACCCCGTTACCTCCAGCTAAGACCACCGGTCTGCTAAAGCCAGTACGGACGCCGTAGTGGGTGATCGATAATTAGGCACGTTGTCAACTTGCAAATCGTGAGCGGCCACTCCGTGGATATCAAGCAACTGCCAGTCCCTTGAAACGACAATATCAAATAAAATAGGTCTAATAAGGCATACAGATTTGCCAACATGGCACTTTAATAAATGAGCATATGAAATAAATTGGTAGCCGAAATATCCGCTGTATTTTCAAGGCGTCGAGAAATACATTTTAAGAAAATGACGGGATCACAAAATGTTATCAAAGCTACAATGAACTTGCGCGACGGGAGCAAGTTAATAAAAGAAACTTCACGTGGGCAATAATGAGACAATATAGCCAACACACCGCCTGAAATACCGAGTCAGCATGCAAGCAAGCGGATAGGGAAGCAAATGCAGCGTACCTACAGAGGCTGCGCCGGCTCCGCCTACCATCACAGTATGACCGGTCGTCGCTTCCGTGGTGGCACTGAATGCCTTCGCTCATGGCTCGCAAGGCATGCCGGTCTCAGGCATTCGCGACCGCATCTGCTGCAGCACCATGGGCTTGATGTCGATGGAGTACAAACCCTGGGCGCCTGCCGCTTCGGCCCTCGTCTCTTCATCTCACCATGCAAAAGGGCTTTCTTCTGCACCTTTGCAACAGCCCTCGTGATCAGATCATGCCATGCATGCCGATAAACCGCCTTTGATTCCCATGGCATGTGATCAAGGTTAGAGTGTAAGAGGCCCAATTGGCGCATATTCTGGTAAAAAAGCTCAAGTTTCCCCCCGTGCCGCTCCTTAATCCTCAGCTGCCCATATGTTAGTTGCTCCGGTATCCGGAACAAATCCATAAGGCACCCATGACCGAGTCACCTAAGTTGTCTCAGCAAGAGTATGCAGTTCACTGCATACCTATCACTACGGCGCAACACTTTCGTAACCGCAATTCTGTCGCATTATTCGATGCGCCCAACCTGTCGCAAACACTGTTGCTTGAACCGATCGTGATATCGCACGTCCCGCCGGTAAACCGTTTGCGTTGCACTGTTGTATAGAAGAAAGAACAGCCCCATGGATTTGAACACAATCAGCTCCGTAACAACGGTTAGCTGAGGGCTGTTCCACACTCGTTTATCTAGCTTCCTGAATACCGTTGCTGCCTTCGAGACGCAGATACCCAGCTTATTGTGAAGCTTCTTTTCAGTCGACATCCCACTCCCAAGGTGGAAGAAGCAGGAGGTGGTTTCTAATACTTAAGCACCAATGCCTGTGTACGGCAAAGTTGATGGTTACAACTCCACTGAAGGCTGAAGGAGAGAGACGGTTTTGTTTATGTTGCTGGTGAGCTCAAAGATGGCCGCTGTCGAAGCCAGCGCACTAGTCTTGTGCTGCAGCTCATACGCACCAGGAGCAAACAACGCACAGTTATCAGCAAACAGCAACTTACTAACAGCTGTCTCACCGACTAGGGTTCAAGCATCAAACTAACAGATGTTCAGCAACCCGACGTCAACACGTTGCTCCACACAAACTCCATAAGCACAATCGGCCTCAAAAGCACAAGACAGCATTGCATGAAGAGAAATAGCAAACAGGGCAGGAGCTAAGACACAGCCTTGCTTCATACCAATGACAACGGCAAAGTTATCCCAGGTCTCTCCACTCAGCTGCACCTCGCCCGCATGCCACGATGCAGACATTAAAGTAAACTTTCAAACTTATTTGGTCATCCAAACTTACTCAACCCCAGCCACTGTGCCTCACCGTTCACGGTAGCAAATGCTTTGGTGAAATCAACAAAAAGCCAAAACGACGGCTGGTGTTCCCTGCATTGCTTCTGCAACCTCCGAGCCGCAAACTCATATCTATGGTGCTGCAATAGGAAAGGAATCCAGACTGCGCTTCAGATACGTTAGGATTCACAACCTGACTGACG